TTTCAGTCACTGTTACTTTAAAAAAAGGAGTTAAAAATGACGGATCTCTGTCAACTCTCCCGGGCTGCTGTTCCTGAATAAATAATATTAGTTTGCAGGGTTTTTTTTTTTTTCAGTGCTGCCAGCACAAGCTCGCTGCGGCCTGTCAAAAGTAAACTAAAGCGCTTTTTACCTCGTGCGTTACCGGCTGCTGGAAATGTTCTGCTGCCCAGAGTCTCCCAGTGCCGTGTTAGCAATAAATACCAGTGTTTAGGGTACCAGAAAGGCCCGTTTGCCTCGTAGCTTGAACGGTGAATTAGTGTGCTTGGAGAAGCAGTTGGGAGACCTGAGTCTGCACAGTGCTAGGTGGGAAAAAGAGAAATCTGTTGTGGCAAACTCATCCGGCTTCATAGGAAAATACGCCAGGCTCGTTGCTGATGCAATACAGTTGATTATTCTGTGGACTGATAAGCTACACTGCACCCACTACCCGTGGGTGCCCAACTGTGTACCTAGTCTGTGCAGTTTGCGTGAAGCTGTGAGATACCTATGTTTTGCCACTTATTGCGTACTGTAATATGTAAACCCACATGTACAAATCTGTTATGGTTGACAGTGTGTTTCATTTTTATTTTAGAAGGTGTTTTACGGTTTTCCTTTCCTTCCCAGAACTGTTTGAGAAGAAGAACTATGAGCTGAGAATAGCAGGCGGTGCCGTGAGAGATTTGCTTAGTGGGATGAAACCAGAAGATGTAGATTTTGCCACTACGGCTACGCCAGCAGAGATGAAGGAGATGTTCACGTCTGCTGGTGTTCGTCTGATCAACAATAAAGGAGAAAAACATGGAACCATTACTGCCAGGGTTGGTTTGTGGTTTAAGTGGGATCTTTTCTGTCTAACTGCTCCATGTATCTGTGAATATATGGCTTAGCTAATGCAAAACTGGCCGCGTGCTTATTCTCCATCAAAATATCACACTAATAGTTTAAATGAGACCATCCTTTAAAGTATGGCGTGCTTTCCGATTGGTTTCTTGTTTGTACAATTCAATGACTTACTGTGTTTTAATGCATGTTATCGCTGCATAATCTGTTTATGCTGCTGAATCATCATTAGAAAAGGTCATGCAGGCTGCTTATATCTTCATGTAATGTGGGGAAGTTGATCCTAATGTTCTTACTCCTGATTTCCCAAGTCTTGCTTCCTATACCCTGCTCGTTCCTCTGCCTCTTATTCCATCTTCTGCAGGAAGACTTCTGCAGACTCTCTAGAAAATGAATAATGCAAAGATTGTTTTCAGGTACTGATGTTTTTCGATTGTCTGCTCTGTGTGGAAATATGTGTTTGTATATAGTTCAAGCTGGATACAGGCAAACCAACGTGAGACAGAAAGAAGACTAGTTTTGTAATAACAATGTTTGTGGAATTTGCAGCTCCATGAACAGAATTTTGAAATAACTACTCTTAGAATAGACGTTGTCACCGATGGACGACATGCAGAGGTAGAATTCACTACTGACTGGGAAAAGGATGCTGAAAGGAGAGATCTCACTGTCAATTCCATGTTTTTAGGTAAATATCTTTCAAAAGTAAATTTTAGATGAAGCACTGCTTTTCACATTCAGCCAACAGATTATGTCAATCTGTTTCCACTTTATTTTTTTAATATTGCTGTTAGCTGAAAGGTCTGTACAAATATGAGGGAAGATCTGACAGACTAGATCCATTCCTCATATTTTCAAGTGACTGCATTGAATTATGCGAGTCGTGTTTATATGGCTTGCTGTTAACTAAACTCCAAATTTCTTATACAGCCATGTCAGTTTATATTCATCTCTTTTTTTCTTCTTCTAGGTTTGGATGGAATGCTGTATGATTTTTTCAATGGATATGAAGACTTGAAAAACAAGAAAATTAGGTTTGTAGGACAGGCAAGTGAAAGAATACAGGAAGACTATTTACGGATCCTAAGATATTTCAGGTACTATGCTTTGCCTTTTGTAGATAAAGAAATGAACTAAACACGTGGCTTCTCATAATTAATGGGACAGAAAATTAGCTTCATAGAGAAGATTCAGAATTGAAATTCAGACAATGCTTTTTCCTTAGAAATGTGCTGAAAACACGTGTTACTTGCCTTTTCCATGTAAGTGAAAAATAGCAGCTGTGCTATAAGGTTTTTCAGCAGTTCTAAGTCTGAAATACAACAAACAATTTAAAAGGAAATAACGTGAAGTTTATTGATAACACATAGATGGCTGAACTGCATTCTAGCAATAAAAGTCAAATTACTTGCCTTGAACCTTTCCACAAAAAGGTGGGGGTGGTTTCTGATCAAGATTGAGTTGGCTGCTTTGGACAGTCATACTTCTTAAGATATCCCAAATAGAATCGTGATCCTCTTTTACTGAGGAATAGACAATTTGCCATTACTTTCAGTGGGTGCAAAATAATGCTGGCTTGTTAAGAGAGTACTATGTGTGACATGTGATCTGAGAGAAGAAAGAAAAATAGGCATTCTGAAGGCAAGAATGCTGTCTAATTATTGAAAGATAAATTAGCATGATTCTGTGTAAGTACGAATGAGGGATAGGCTTCAAAAATATTTAATTGCCAAAAAAAAGCACTTTGCTACTTAATTTTCAAAAGTGTCCAAAGAGATCTTGAAAATGCTACATCTCTAGTTTGTGTGTAGGGTTTTTTTTTTTTTAACAAAAAAATTTTTATTACCTTTTTTCTTCGCCACTGACCTTTTGCAAGTCATTAAGTCTCTCTCCATTTTTTTCTTGTAGTACTGCTTTGTAAAATGACTTGTAAAACAGCAGTGGAGACCTTTAAGATCTATGGATGAAGAGCATTGTAGAAGGTATCATAGGAAAGTATCTGTGATATAAAATGAGTTGTGGTAGTTGTCATATATTTTTAAGTTTCCGCTAGTATTTTACATGAGAACATGTAACATTGTCACGATAAGCGTTCTCTGAACAGCAGTAATAAGTGGAATAATTGTTCTGAACAGTGACATAAAGAGTTTTTATTTGGGCAGGTTTTATGGAAGAATCGCAGAAAAGCCTGATGATCACGAACCCAGCACGCTGCAGGCAATTAAAGAAAATGCCAAAGGTTTGGCTGGAATATCAGGAGAAAGGATTTGGGTGGAACTGAAGAAAATTCTTCTTGGAAACCATGTAAATCATTTGGTTCGACTTATGTATGAGCTTGATGTTGCCCAATACATAGGTAAAGTGAAATGAAGATTGTATATGACACAAAGAGTAGGAAATCAAACAGAACTGCAGCATGGCAACTAAGATAAAAACTTGTTTGTTTTTACCCAGTAATAAATTAGATTTTTCCTTCGTTAGCTTCTGTGTTTCTTATTAGCACTATCTCTTGTTCCTTTTCATGTGTGTCCCTTTAGGACTACCACTTAATGGAAATTTAGAGGAATTTGACAGAGTCACTGAAAACGTTCAAAATCTGTGTCCAAAACCAATGACTGTTCTAACATCACTGCTGAAGGTGAAGGATGATGTCATAAACCTTGATTTGAGGCTGAAAATCTCAAAAGAAGAGAAGAACCTTGGCCTTTTTATAGTGAAGCACCGGCAAGACTTAACCAAAGCTATGGGTCCAGAACCACTTAAGCCGTATCAGGACTTCATAATGGATGTAAGTGTATCTCATATCGCTGCATTTTGTTCTTTGCAGTAAACCCAGAACTTGTACTTTTACAGATTGCCAAAGATGATGTTTAGTGGAAAGAAAGGGCCTTACAGAGTCAAATAAGAGCCATGTCATTGGCAGGCTTGTTTATTTGTTCTGGCCAAATTGTTGCACCTTTATGCCAGAGTTTAACGCCCAAGATATTTTGACCAGAAAGCTGGGAAGTATGGGTGAAAAGTATTAGCCCAAGTTGGATTGCTCCCAGTGTAGCATTGTTGCAGTAACTGGAAGAACATCATTCTGTATTAATGATACAAGTCTCAGTTAACTACGGTTGTAATTGGTCTTAGTTTTGTTTTAATCTGAAGAAGGGACCAAAAATTAACAAGAGCTATCACTAATGTCCTGGCATGTTTTTGCAACATAAGACAGAAACTGTGATACACAAAAAAATTCTTTTCCATTAGTAGAGCTTAATTTCGAAAGAGGATGAATATTAGATGTTTCTACTTAAATTCTCTTAAGTTTTCTTTCCCATCTAAAATACTGAGGTTTTAAGTACATTTCTAAGAACTTAGTTTAAAAAAAAAGAAACCACAATATTGTTAACAGTTCTGAGAAACTTGCATTCCGGAGCAACTTTTTGACTGGATTTAAAAGCCTATCTTGCAGTCAGTTAGGCTTGAAAATGTCACTTGCTTGAAATGTAATCTTCTGAAAGTAAAGTTTCCTGAAAACATAGCTAGGGACTGAGAGTTTGCTGTACTGTCCCAGCTGATGTCTCCTTCTGCGTTAAAACGTGAGGCAGGATTTGGACCTCAGGGGACTCCAGCTTTTTATGTCAAATTCAACTCCTTGACTTGTGCAGTGAAAGCGAGTGCAGTTTCTGGAGCATTATTATGTGTTCTTTGTGAGGAGTACTGCTCAGTAGGCAACCTATGACATTGTGCAAAGTTCAAATAATTTTCAAGCGAAATTCTGCCCTTTTATTGCAGTACTGGAGACTGAAGGTGAGAGACATCGATGTCTGCAGTAAGGTCTCTCTCTCTCAGGAAAGATAATAGCTCCTCTCCAATGGTAGGCTGAAGAAAACGGTTACAGCTGTTGTCTGGAATTTAAGAAGTCTCCAAGGATCTCCTAAGGCTTCCAAGTTAGGACTGAGTTCTAAAACTTAGGAGACAGAAGATACCCTAACTTTCATACTTCCAACTCGTTGCCCAGTTAATGCTTATAAGGTGTCGTGGGACTAACATGATGATGAGCACAAATTATTCTTTGAGCTGTTTCCTAATGTTTCATAGTGAATCTTCTTATTTCCTTTTAGTCTAGGGAAGCTAATACAAATTCCAAGATCTGTGAGCTTCTAAAATACCAAGGAGAAGAACATCTTTTAAGAGAAATGCAGCAATGGACTGTTCCTTCTTTTCCTGTTAGTGGCCATGATTTAAGAAAAATGGGTATTTCTTCTGGGAAAGAAATTGGAACAGCTTTACAACAGTTGAGAGATGAATGGAAGAAGAGTGGATACCATATGGATAAAGAAGAACTCTTAAGTTGCCTGAAAAAGCTGTAAAAATGTATAATAGTTGATACTTATTAATACCCAGTCTAAACAGAATCAAGATACTAGTAAATATGTTCTCAGAGTATTATCAGCCAATAGAACATTTTGTATCGTAAAGACCTTCACAGGTGAACTGTTCTCCTGTTTACTAATTCATAAGAAGTTCTGCAAGCGCAGGGGTAATCTTGCGGTAAATTAAAGTGGTATTTGCCAAATTCTAAAAAGCCTACCTCTTTTTATTGTATTTTAATGATAAATACTTACTAATGCTTACGACTTCATCTTCACTTAGGACAAGTAGAGCTGACACCAAGATTTTTCTCATTCTCACTTTGCTGCATCCAGGAAGAGCAGGGTCTGTGCTCTATTTAAAATCCTCTTCTTCATGCTTTTTTTTCCCCCCCTCCCTTCTCTCTCTCTAGGAATAATGAGATCTAAATGTTTTTGTAGTTAAAGCTAGATATGAAATCAAAATCTTCATATGCTGTCTTACCATATAAAGCACATATGTTTTCTGAAAGGATTTTATTTTTCATAATTCCAGAATCAATTTTTGATTAATAGGATGACTTACCTGAGTCGGTATGACAGGCAATACGTACGTGGATATGTGAATCTTTTATCTCTTCAGTAGTTTTTCAGTAACTTATTCCTCACTGTGAATAACTGGGTTTAAAGAAGATTGGTGGAGGATTCTATAATATATTTTCGACTTTTAATGTGAAACATATCATTAATTTTAATAGCAGAAGGGAAGGGAGTTTGAGGTTCCCTGCCTGCCTTTTGTTTGTTTGGTTTTCCCTGTGCCAGGTGGGTGACTCCTGCTTTCCTTCCTTTTTCTTTCACAGTGCGTTTGTTCCAAAGCAAGCAAGATGGCGTTGTTTGTGTGCCTAAACAAAGTGAACTTGAGCTAAATCACGTAGTTCTGTCGCCTTTAGAGTACTAACACTCCGGAAAAGTTACCAGTTTCCACTCAGTGATTCTCCACCCGTCTCTTCCTGTAACTTGCAGCAGTGAGGCACAGAGGTGTTTACCCACGCTCTGCTTAGCAGTCGTTCTCTTGAAATTGGTAGGATTATTTCAGGAAGAAGTCTTTAATATCCTTACTACTGTCTTCCCCAGTTACATAACATCTGTGTTACTTCCGTGTTAATTGTCCGTACTTATCTTCTGCCTAAACTTATCCGCATTAAAAGTGCACTCTGAATTCAGTTCAAAAGGATGTTCTAAGTAATGTGACTCTTCAGGGTTAATAAATAGATCAATAACGTTTTGGAAAAAAAGAGATATAAATGGGTTTGATGATGATTTAAAGCTGATGAGGAGGGAGGAAACCTAAGCAAGAAGTTTGCTTGCATGTAGTATCGAGTAAATTGTACTGCGTTGTTTTAAGAGGGCTTGAGTAATGTTCATAGTCTCTTTGAACAGTAGCGATGTAATAATACTGTGGAAAATAATAGGTTTTTGAAGCTGTGCTGTTTCTGACCAGTTTTCATGAACATATATCAACGTCCTTAGATTTTTTGCTTAAAAAAAAAAACTAAAACAAAAAACATTAGTACTAAAAGCTTCTCTTCTATATTTATGAACTTTATTAGCGGTGTTAAGTTTTCCTATGAACCCATGGGTTACTGTAATAAAATGTTTTCATTTTCCTCGTGGTAGTTACCATTTTCAAACACTAGATGGCAGTAATATCAGCACAGTTTCACAAAAATGAGGCATTTTACCCTTTCATATAGATAATTGCTCCAGCTGGTCAGTTACCTTACATAAATTATTGTGACGGTACTTAAGAAGGTTGGGGAGACAGCAAGGGAAGAAAAAACAATGCTGTTTGTTAAGACAAACCTGATAAGCACATGACGGTGTTCCATTTAATTATGTAATTAAATTGCAGCCTCATGAACAATTTATTGAACTACTGAAATGGTGGGAGGGTGGGGACTAATAACATTTAGTACAAGAGTAGATTCTTCTCTACTACATCCTTAAAGGCAACTTCTGGTGAGATGCTAAAGTGTTAGCAACTACCTTTTATAGTACAAAATTGTTTTCAGAGCGAAACTCCACTTAGAGGTAGGATTTTCTGACAGTTAAGGAGGCAAACTTCTAAAGCTTTACAGTCTCCAAAGCTTGGGGAAAATAAAAAGCAACTATCTTGTTCTGAAACCCTCATCATCAAAGGTATGCTGCTTTGAATTCAGCGGCAGTAGCACATTTGCTCAAATAGCTCATTTAAAACTCTTACTACAACTGCACTTTCCAATTGATGTATCCAACATTTTTAATTTACTATATTTGGAAGAAATTAAATCAAGGTAAAAATGAAACTGCATTAAAACGCTTTTCATGTTTTTAAACAATAGCAGATTTTAAACAAGAATTACCAGGTTGCGTTTTTGGAAAAAATGATCTCTTTGAACAAATAAGCATTTTTCATTCAGTGTAAACTTCAGTGTAAACTATTTAAATACCAAATTGTAGTTACGAGATGAAGCAATTGTGCATGTACGTTCAAATAAAGTTCTCCAAAGGCCTGTGTGACTAGTTCAACTCTATTCCCAGGCGTAGTCCAGCGGCTTGTGCGGCCTGCCACTGCCGCCTGGCCCCCTTTTGAGGGCTGGCTGCCAGGGCTGACGTCAGGTTGCTCCTCAAGGGGCCCTCAAAGGGCCCTTAAACCAATTCAGAAACTATTTTTAAACCAAGAAATAGCTATTCATGTTGTGCTACCATTTTAAAGCAGCATCATTTGGAAAAACGCCAACCACCTGGATAGCGGGACCACCCTCCGGCGTTAACCTAGCCCGGCCACCTTCAAAAGCAAGCTGTTGCCGCGCTGCACCCCGAGCCGACGGCAGCCAGCCCTCGGCATCTGCTTTTGGCGCACAAAAGCTCGTGGTTATTCAGTGCTACCAGTTGGGCTAATAAAAATATAGCATCGCTCTGCTAAAAGCCTGGGCCTTGCAATTATTTACACCCTGTAACAGCACCAACTTATGCAGCTCTTTTGTGCTAGTGAGAGTCCCAATTTTTACAGCTGTCCTGGACTACTGCTTTCCTGAGCAGGCGGTGAAGTGATGCCCGTTATAAGCGGACTCCAAAGCTGCATTTCCAGCAGACCGTATCACTCAGCATCGGCAGTAAGGGGGAGCCGAACTGCCGTGGGGTTTCCGCTGCGTAAACACTGTCAGTAACCCAGGCAGCCCTGGCTCTCGGGGGGAAGTCATCTTCCGCGTGCAACAGTTTATTACCACTCAGCTGTTTGCTATTTAACAAGGCTTATCTGGAACTAATAGCAAAAAAATAATAATAATAATAATAATAATCTAGGCAACTACAGTCTCTTGTGGAGGAAAGATAAGAAACATGCAATGATATTTACACAGAGAAGATTGGTTTTTGAAAAATGAATTAAAACTCAACATCCTGAACGAGTCCTGCTATACAGGAGGCGTGTGTGAGAGCAAGAGAGAGCGCGCGAGAGAGAGAGAGAGAGAGAGACTGTTTGGAGAGGTGAAAGCCTTTGAAGAAAGCAGCTGGCCGCGCTGTCGGCTGCTCCCAGCAGCAGCTTCGCTGGGCCCCCCCGGGGGGGCCCA